CCTCTAACATTTTTGGGTCTAGTTTTCCAAGAAGTGGAAAAAGTTCTTAAAAATATTGCTGGGTATTTCCCCGGAATATGTGTGACCTGTCAAATTTGACGGTGTAAACTCTCAGGCGTGTCTTTACTGTATAATACTGTTCGAAACTCTTTTTCAATTTCTGTCCAAATTAAGGGGCCTTTTTCTCCGCTTGAGTATCAGTACATACTCGAAACCAGGAGGCAGGATAATTTGTGAGATGATACCCAAAGTTTTCTGTTTTAATGTAATCATCCCATCCGTATGACGAAGCGAGAAGAGTGCATCGGTGCAAAATGTTGGAGGTAAAACATTAAATGACAAACAGTAAATTCTACACACGTCATGTATAGCATCGACATTTAGGTTATTCTATTTTTGAAATATAAGAAGTTATGCAAACCAAACTAGGATATGAGGCAGGCCGGCAGTATGCATATCATTTTGGGTACCACTACATTTGATGGAGTTTAGGTCTTCACAATGAGTATCATTAAATTATCTAACGTCCTGAAAGTCTATGCTCTAGCGTCCTTCCCGCATCTTAGTAAAATCAGTTGGAGACTTAACTACTAATAGCAGAGGTAACAATGTTCTGTTCGACACTGAAAATTTTGAGTCTCGTTGTATGTACATATGTGCAACTTGTTTAAGAACTGGCGTGTCCATAATTAGAGACGGTTTCTACTGGAAGTTATATAATATGTACAAGTACATTAGTTCACCTTGTTCTTGCTAACTGTACGTTGGTTTTTAAACAAGCCAATTATCATTCTATCCGTCTTCTTCATCGCCCTATATGTTGTCTTTCTACTACCGAGGTTTGCTGGGAAGAACCGAGGATTTTTGATTTCTGACAATCCGTTTTACTGTACACTCCTTCTCTCAATCCTGGGCTTTGATAGGATTTCGCATATATATTTTTGTCTTCTCCGTCTTTGCGTATTGAAAGATAGGAATATGTTCCTTCACAAGGTTGGCCAAAACTAATTTTTGTGGGATTTTTGGAATTATGTACGTATCCGACGGGTCGTGCGGAGTAGGTGAATTTGGACCATAAATGGACTTAATATCTGCTGATTTCCCCAGCTCCCCCCGTTTCGCGTTCTGTGTAATATATTAAATCAAATATTTGCAAATATAATTCAAATTTTCTTGCAGATTAAAGTACTTACAATATTTCTTGGGATTACGACCCATATTTCTGCTGTCTCTGATCTCTCAGAATATGTTCAATCAAATGAGCAAAATAAGTGTGTTCAGTAGAACCAGTGAACATGTACTCACTCCTCTGCAACCACCTTATCGTCTCGTTTAATAACATTTGCGTCAAATTATACTACGATGTTTGTACTAGATTATTTAGTGTTCAAATTGGGACAATTAATTTAAACGGGATCCGTACTTACATAATGATATAATGAGGGAACTAATGTTGTACCACATAAAAACCATCATTTTGATTATTTCCATGCTCAGCCTTCTATTTGGACATATCTGATGATATTCCTGGCCTTGATTCATTTATTACATCGGTTAGGTTATGCTAAAATTGCTGCTAATCACTCTATATTAAACTAAATTAATAAAATGCAACTATTCAAATTTAGTTTAATATTATATTTTAATTAATTTACATATGTACATTCAAGTTTAAATTTCTGCAAAAATTTGATGGGAACATACACAATCTTGAGTATCTCATGACTAATAGTCTAAATTTCAATATACATAAGAATTTATATTTAATGTAAAAGTGTGACGGTTGATTTATGCGATATTAAGGCAATTCATAGACCCTGGTTACCTTGAAAATTTTGCAAAATAATTATGCACAACTTTACAAAATCCTTAAATAGACTCCCTTGTTCTGCGTAAGCTTACCGAAATTTGTTCCTAAGCTCAGAAATTTATATCAGAATATTGGATAATTATTCATCGCTAATTTGAATACTTATTTTAATAAATAGATTAATATTAATTTCTTATTGGTGAATTTAATGTAATTAAGTTGTAATTACTCAATAATGGATTATTTACTCATTCACATGTTGCCTCTGAAAATAAACGATATTTGGAAATATTTTTGCAATCATGTTATCAATTTGGACGCAATTTGTCAAAGACTTACATTTCTTGCATAAATAATCTCCTAAGCTTGCATACAATTTTACCTTGGATTTTATTTGGCGTCGGATTGGAGCTACATATTTTTACCCTTTCACTCAAACAATACGGATTTATGAATAAATGTGTAAGGTGAGTGAGTACCTATAATTGTTGTAGTGAGTAGTTGTTGCGTACTACACGTTAATTTGCAAGATTTGTAATCCATTTTAAACAATAAAACCAATTGAAAGATGTCATGGCTAAAAACTGAGGAAATTATGACATACAGCGATTGCATGAAACGAGCAAAAATTAGCGAAAAGAAAAAAATGTAATCAATTTGGAACATTTCACTCTTAAAAATAATGTAACCCTTTTGAAAAGTAAATTCAGTCTGAATTTCATGTTCACCAAACTATCCCAAACCCAGAGTAAATAAGCTTTTCACTTTATCCAGTTAACGTTATTCTGGATTTAGTATAGGTATTCAGTTTGCTTAATATACATATTTGGAATTCAAAGTGCATTTAGGTACTTTTAAAAGGGTAGCGCAATTTTTAAGATGGTTGAAGTTCCATACATACATACATATTAAGCATGTAGGTACGTAAAAACTAATACTAATACACATATACATACAACGAGCTTCTAATTTACCATTAACATTAATAAACCATTAACTCTATGCACACCTTTGTATATTCCATTATAAGTCGGTAATTATATAATTTATTCTCATGAATATTCATTCCTTAAATTGTATATGTATGCAATGCAGTGTCCTTATTCGCGGCCCACGGGAGGAACTCGGTTCTGCCAAATGTCCGGAACAGCTTGTAATAATCATACCCCGAACATTTATTTATTTATGACTTTTTCATTTCGAGCACGTCGACCCCCAAACTTTGTGGGGTTGTTTATCAACACTTGTGGTTATCAACAAGTTCACCCGGCATTAACAAAATTCCGAGTGGTTAGCAAAACTTTGCATTAATTTCAAAATTCCGAATTAGCAAGAGGACATATTAGGAATCCGTTGTAATCTTAAACACAAACTTATTGTTCATATTACCCTCAAATACATCAAAATTCAATAATTCGATAGTGGAATACTAATATGGAAAATGCAATTATTTTGCAAAGTTCAACATATTAGATAATTGGGGCCCAAAATCGAGGCAGCGGCCAAATTCTAGTCCAAAATAATTCTTAAAATTATTTCCAGTGATATTTGACCAAGTTTGAACGATTTTGACATAAAACTCAAAATTTGCAAAAAAAATCGCACATTTTGGCTCGTATCGCGAAAACTGACCATGCGCCCCCCCAATATTATTTCAGATTCTTTATGTACACAAAATCACGGAAATTTTAAGCCATCAAACTTGAAAATCGTTCGAGTGCGAAAAAACACGATCTCATTGTATATATCTATCTTAAAAATTAAAAAATGTTTTCAATTTAAAAAAAAATATTTTGGACTTTTCGCAAATATAAATATTTTTGACAATATTTCGCCATATTTTAAAAAAATATATTTTTTTTCGTGGTTTTTTAATTTTTTTCGGGGGTTTAATATGTTTGTTTGCATTTTTTGTACTTTCCTTAATTTCTCATTTTCATGATATTATATTACTCTTATGTGTACATTAAAGAAATACAAGCAAGACAAGATAATAACACCGCGCACCGGTTGAAGCTTTGCGCATTTTTAGCATGCGCAAATTGTTGGTCTCAGGACGAGAGATCCTTTCAGATCTTGATGCCCTTTGCATATGTTGGAGTACTATATGAGTCAGACTCATATAGTAGACTCATTGAGTCTACTAAAACCCAGAAATGGTTTGACTCCATGGCCTCTATTGCGCCCGCCACACCTAATCAAAACTGCGAAAAACACGAAAAAGCCTGTTTTCATGTACTTTAACTGTCACAAAAAATCCAATTTTGCTAGGATATTGACAAAACTTAAATTTTTGTGATCCTAGATACTTGTGTGATCGTATCCAGTAGATATCTCAACTTTTTTTTAATTTTGATCTTTCTTGAATAATTCATGAGAGGAATTAAATTTTTAGAATGTTCTAAAATTTCGAAAAATTAAAAAAAACTCGAGATATCTACTGGATATGATCACACAAGTATCTAGGATCACAAAAATTTAAATTTTGTCAAAATCCTAGCAAAATTGGATTTTTGTGGACAGTTGAACAACATAAAAACAAGCTTTTTCGTGTTTTTTACACCGTTTTTTACACAGTGGGTGTGGCGGGCGCAAATGGGGCCATGGAATCAAACCACTTTTGGGGTTTAGTAGACTCATATAGTACTCCAACATATGCAAAGGGCATCAAGATCTTAGAATGACATTTAGAGGGTCTCTCCTCCTCAGACAGACGCAATGGATTGACGCCAGCAAGTTTTATTTCTCACTTCGAGCTTCTGATTGATGATTTTGATAATTAAAATCTAATTATCTCTGCCAAATTTATGCAAGGGGTGATGAATTATAGTTGAAACTCGAATTCACTAGTCTTTTGACGTTGGAATAAAAATATTTTTGTATAAATATTTCGGCGTTTTTTTCAAAAATATAAAATAAATATTTCGGGCTTGATAAAAAATATTTAACCGGGGTATGGTAATAATGGGTGCCAGTTGGTGGCGGCACGGGAGGAAGCTGCACAGTTGCAGGAAGTTACACATTTTGCATGTGCAATTAATTAGACTATTTTATTAATATGCATAGATGAATCGAGTCATGTTTTGCAGGTAGAAATCAAAATTGTAAATTATGTATTTTAGTCCCAAATTTTATTTATTTGACTTGGATGTTTATAGTTCGCAGAATTATTTTAAAAACTCACCATCACAATTTCCAGCAAGAGAAATTACAGAAATCCACTGAAACGATATTAAAATCGGCATTTTTAGTATGTAGATTGGAGAGAATTTCGAACTCATATTATGCGAATTGACGTGAGTACGCCCAGTGTAGGTACAGGGTGGTTTAAATGTCTCGCTTCAATGGAAAATTTTTCAATGAAAATAATTCGTAGGTTTCCATTTGTTATCGAAATTTTATCTCTGGAATTGAACACTTGAAGAATTTTGTCATCAGTTTTGATAATGATTAATAAAAATCTCAATTCCAAACCATCCTTGCTCTTGGAGATTTAGGGGCTTTTCCCATTTGCAAAAGTCTCCTTTGTAGCGATGCATTTAAACCATCCCAGTATAAAACAAGTGTCTTGTTCCTTACGAGCCGGACATAAAGGATGTGACCGATTTTCAGCTAATTTTTGCCCCAAACCCCCTCGTGTGACCTAGGTATGCGACGTGCTATAATTAAAAGAGCAAGCCTTATCCCTACCTCCACTCAAATCGAGCACATCCTTTTTGCTATGTCCCCTCATTTTTGTAACAAAGAGATAGCTCGATCACCTTGAAAGCGAAACAATTGATCCATTCTACACTGCACAGACAGCTTACGTGGTCCTGCATAAAGCAGGTCTGCGAGAAATCTTATTAATCCCACCTCATCCAATATTAATCACAAGTGGTGTATAAATTTAGCCAAAATTTATCACATCCTTAACACACGGTCCTGCTTGAATGAATAAGATGATCATGATTATCATGCACTTGACGAAATATCCTTTAACACACTGTACACATCTTCATTCAATACACCTTTCACTCAACAGGTTATTATTTTTTAAGAATATAATTATTGATACAATTATTAAAAAATCTTAAAAATGTGACCCCGTTATTAATTTCGCTGTGGTAAATTTCACCGATTTAAAGCCAATTAACATTGTTTCGAGTGAGAATTACATACTTAATTCCTATAAGATTTCATGTAAAGTAAAGTGCACTCCAGTTGTTTCATTTCGAACAACGTTTAATTAGCTAAATGGTTTGTCTTTGGGCTAATTCGTACAAATGGAAATTTGAAATATTTAACTCTCCTTATCAACTTACATACATGGCTGAAATTGAAACGGGTAAGCAGAATTTGTGTTAAGTTAAAACTCATGCAAGTATTTATCTATCATGTTGCTGCATGTGTGCATAAATATGTACATATACATCTACATACTCATTTTGGAATTTTTTTAAAAGATTATTATTACTTATTTTCATACTTTAAAAAATACAGACACCTGGTTTAAAAACCTTATCAAGGATATTACTCCATCATCGCCAACATCAAAGCCGTAAATTTACGTATATGTTTATTAGTGGTAAGCTAATATGTATGCCCATATGTAAGTTATAACGGTTTCTTACTAGGGCATCCAGAATCGGTTTTTCCGATTTTGTAAAACCGGTTAAAAACCGGTTTTCGAGCTACCCGAAAACCGGTTTTACAATTTTCTAAAAAAACGGTTTTGTCAAAAACCGGTTTTATCACACTCGAAAACCGGTTTTCGATTTTGGACAAAATTTGTTTCAAAACCACTAAATATTTGTCATATCTTGTTTTTCATGCAAAAATTAATTGTTCTGAAATATTATCTGTCAATTTAATGCCCAAAATTTGTTCAGCTTTAAATTTTACAATATTATATTTAACAAATTTTAAAAATTTGGTAGAAAACCGATTTTGAAAACCGGTTTAAAACCGGTTTTTGGGAAAATCGAAAACCGGTTTTACGAAAATTTCAAAAACCGGTAAAATCGAAAACCGGTTTTACGAAAGTTTGCCAAAATCGGAAAAATCGAAAACCGGTTTCTGAAAATTTTCCTATTCTGGATGCCCTATTTCTTACCCTATAATTATCCATTTACAGACCTTGACGACAAATTTTTCTCTGATTTCCTCCTGAATTCAGCCCATCATATTTTCGTGAGCTATTTAAGTTATTTAACAATTATACAAAATAAGAGTTTCTCAATAGCGTGATAATTGATAAAAACTTTGGCTTCTTAAATCCCTAAGTAGATCACCACTTCTCTCATTTCGAATTGGAGGGTCGTCCCAACCATACTACGTAATGGATCCTGTAGAATGGAAGCTGCAAAAAATGGAAACGGCGAAATTACATATCTTGTTCCGGTCAATTACTTAAGCTGCCTTCCCTTAATAACTCTTCGTTTAACTGTACGTAAATATGTATAGTAGCTAACAATGGAGGTCTCCCAACGTGTGCTCACCGATTTTTACCAAACTGGTGCGAATCGATCACGAATATAATTAATATGAAATTTGAACAAAGCGGGTAGTTCTGCTGGTCCCAGGGCGCTCCATCGCTCTTGCCCCTCCATCATGACGATGTCGGTGCCATGCAGATAACCGAATAGCGAATTGGCAGACACATATTGCCCTTTGCACGTTTGATGTTAATTAAATTGGCGATCCACTTTGGCCAAAATCTGCGTACATACATAGGCAAACCTCCATTGTAAATTTGAGTAGTCTTATTGAGTATATATTTTAATTAAGACCTTAACCGTACGGTCCACTCTGGAGATAGGAATGCTGTACTTTTTTGTGGAAATGTACAGTTTTTCCAGCACGATCGGTTTTAGAAAGAAAGTTCATTTTACAAATTTTTTGAACATAGAGACACAAGTTGAACCAACCAGATACACTTTTTTCTGAGGTAGTGTAGAACCAAGACTGCATATATTGGTACTGTTATGTTAACTTGAAACTCTGGATAAATAGCTTAAATGTAGTCGCACAAAAGTTTGGATGCTTGCTCCACAGATCGGACAAGATAACGACTCTGGTCTTCAATTCCAGTTCTGCGTAATGATATCAATTTTAGAGTTAAAAGATGGATCGAAGTATCCAGTCTAGAAAGGCTTATAGCAGATTCTTATAATAGCTGAGGTAGTCTCTCTTTGGAAGGAGGTAGCTGAAAAGATGACCACCATTGTATTGTAGTCATTGTTTTTTGAATATTCAATGTCAAAATTCCCAGTTTCCCAACTTTCAATGGCATGGAGCCAATGCCAATGGAAGTTAGCTTAAGCTTTGTCACGTGCCTGGTCGAACGTAATGTCGCATGGAAAACTATACCCAGGGCCAGATTCTTGCGATTCTTGCTTGGTGATTGACGGCGCAACGTCGTCTTCCGATAGCTATTCTAGATTGCCCACGCACACATAGATTGAAGGCAGGTTGAAATGAAATGACAGGTTGAAATGTTGCTTGCTGAGTTACTTTGTAATAACTGAACTTTATTTAACGAAATTTTCCTTTATATACAAGTTTTCAAGGTTAAACATTAGTTTCCAACAATCTGGAATTATCTACAAACATCTTAATTATGATGCAATATTAATCTAGAATAATCTACGTAAATCTAGGTGTATTGTTTATTATGCTGAAGTTGACCACAACATGTAAGCACATGTGCAAATTAAGCGAAAACCGCATACACGCAAGTGTGATGCTTAGTTTGGATGGCTAAAGTTTATTGAGTCCATCCATATAAATATGTACAGTAAGTTCCCCTACACATTTATTCTTTCGGACCTGCACATCTCGGAGAAACTTCTTTGAAGCATCATAATTCTAAGGCATTAACATACCAAAATAGGCGTATATGGTAATCACAACAATGACACAGGTATTGTCAAAAGAACACATCTTTCCCCTTTTACTAAAACCACCCAATTTTGGTAGTCTCTAAAATCAGCTAGAAGCCTATCTGCATTAGAATTCCAAAACATATTCCTTGTGTTTCTATTGTGCTGTATATAATTTTGTTGTATAGGGTTCACAAAATATATTCACAAATATACATGATAGACGGCATACAGCCAGTGAGTATTGCTCACTCGAGATGAGTTTCAAGGGTTAGACACGGCTAAACAAGTACAAACATGTGAGGTTAGGAATGTTCTCCTCATTAATCGTCATTTTTAGTGGTACACTGGTTGAGTAGATTGTCATAATCTCGTCCATTAAATGTTCACTAGACTCGAGGAATTTTGTATGAAATCAAAATCTCGGGTATACCTTGGCCTACGTATTTGTTCACCTTTCCATATTCATCGATAAATAAATATGTACATCTGAACTTCAATGTTTGTATGCAATGCAGAATTTGGATCAGCTTAGGCAATCTTTCACTGCACATAACATCGACAAGAAATACAAAATTATGAATTACTTGTCATGAATTACTTGTCAAAGAGGTGAACACGACTTGATGTTATTAGTTAAAAAGAATACAAAAAACTTGAAATTAAAATGTATAAGCATATGTTACATATTTATATGCATGTATGTAGTACGGTATCGTATATCTTCTTCCCATCTTTCAAGTTTTCCCACATAAGATGAAATTGGCTTTTAAATTCTGCCAAACTACCTTTCGAAACCTTAAAATTATGCTTAAACTAGCCTATAAGCCCGTCTAAAGACGGTCCACATCAAGTTTTAAATCAACACAGCAAAATCACTCGATGAAAACACCACATAACTGCGGCGATGAACTAATTATAACCAAATTATAATTTGAGAGTAAAACATTCAAAAGGCTGTTCCGTTAAACTTTCAACCACATTCCTTCCTTCAGATTGGTTGCCAGCTTCCTTAGGAAATGTTTTAAACTTGCCAAGGTATTTTTTTACGTTGCTAAGTAATTTTTTTAACGTTGTTAAGAAATTATTGTAACGTTGCTAAGGAATTTTTTAATGTTGCTAACAAATTTTCTTATGGTTGCTAAGGAATTTTTAAACGTTGGTAACAAATTTTCTTAAGGTTGCTAAGGATTTTTTTTGACGTTGTCTGGGAAATTTTTTAATGTTGCTAAGCAATTTTGCTAAGGTTGCTAGGAATTTTTTTTACGTTGCTAAGCGAATTTTTTAACGTTGTTAAGGAATCGTGTTAACGTTTCTAATAAATTTTTTAACGTTGCTAAGGAAATTAAGTTTGCTAAGAATTTTTTCTGGTTGCCCATAACTGAAATCATAACCGAATTCATAACCGAAATCATAACCGAAATCATAACCGAAATCATAACCGTAACCATAACCGAAATCATAACCGAAATCACAACCGAAATCATAAACTAAATCATAACCGAAATCATAACCGAAATCATAACCGAAATCATAACCGAAATCATAACCGAAATCATAACCAAATCATAACCGAAATCATAACCGTAACCATAACCGAAATCATAACCGAAATCACAACCGAAATCATAAACTAAATCATAACCGAAATCATAACCGAAATCATAACCGAAATCATAACCGAAATCATAACCGAAATCATAACCGAAATCATAACCGAAATCATAACCGAAATCACAACCGAAATCATAAACTAAATCATAACCGAAATCATAACCGAAATCATAACCTAAATCATAACCGAAATCATAACCGAAATCATAACCGTAACCATAACCGAAATCATAACCGAAATCACAACCGAAATCATAAACTAAATCATAACCGAAATCATAACCGAAATCATAACCGAAATCATAACCGAAATCACAACCGAAATCATAACCGAAATCATAACCGAAATCATAACCTAAATCATAACCGAAATCATAACCGAAATCATAACCTAAATCATAACCGAAATCATAACCGTAACCATAACCGAAATCATAACCGAAATCACAACCGAAATCATAACCGAAATCACAACCGAAATCATAAACTAAATCATAACCGAAATCATAACCGAAATCATAACCGAAATCACAACCGAAATCATAAACTAAATCATAACCGAAATCATAACCGAAATCATAACCTAAATCATAACCGAAATCATAACCGAAATCATAACCGTAACCATAACCGAAATCATAACCGAAATCACAACCGAAATCATAACCGAAATCATAACCGAAATCATAACCGAAATCACAACCGAAATCATAAACTAAATCATAACCGAAATCATAACCGAAATCATAACCTAAATCATAACCGAAATCATAACCGAAATCATAACCGTAACCATAACCGAAATCATAACCGAAATCACAACCGAAATCATAAACTAAATCATAACCGAAATCATAACCGAAATCATAACCGAAATCATAACCGAAATCACAACCGAAATCATAAACTAAATCATAACCGAAATCATAACCGAAATCATAACCTAAATCATAACCGAAATCATAACCTAAATCATAACCGAAATCATAACTGAAATCATAACCAAAATCCTATCCGTGCTGTGATTGGTGGAGCCAGAATTTCAACAGCCAATCAGAACGCCGGGATGTCACGGAGAATTTCACGGGACGGACTTTTCGAAATTATAATATAGATTTGCTTCAGCTTACCCGAATTACTTATGTATGTATATCTAAGAAATCTACAAAAGCGACAAATTTGACCTTTGACCCAAAGGTAAGGGATCATGTCAAAATAGCTATTTTTGTTTAAAACGAGATCCTAAAAATATAACTTAATCCAATTCCGTTTCCTTGTTACTGACTGTTCAGGGAAATAATAAGATAACCATGCGTAGAATATCAATTAATTCAATTAATGTATTAATCAATTAATGTGGTAATAGAATATCAGTGGAAGGCAACCATGCGTAGCAGTTGTCATAACGAGTACTTCGTTCAAGGACGAATTATTAATGGTAGGTTTATGCCGTACCCTGAATTCTACTCGATTCGCCGGATTATTATCAAAATTGGGCAGACTCTTGGTGTTGGATTCTCATGTTGGATATGTGTAGTCCTCCTGTACGAACTTTTAATAATTAGGTTATAAATAAACGCATTTACTCTTTACGTCTTATATTGTTCTGCGTTAAACTGCGTTATATTGTTCTGCGTTAAACATGTAGGATGAAATCATGCATTTCGTGGATATTTATTAGAAGCTGGCACAAGTGTTCATCCTCTGAACAACTTCCGTTTCCATGTTTCACGTCTGGAAATTGAATGCGGGGTAGCGAAATGGTAAAACCAGAGGTGCAAATGATCTGTACGTAATCACGTTAGGCATTTTGTTTAGAAAAACTCCCTCGTTAATATAGTGTAGCAATGGATCAATTCGTTTGGGACTGGTTGGAAGCTACAAACAGAAAATAAAAATGTGAAATTCAAAGGCACAAAGTGTCTGCCTGAGAAGAGAAACACAGTTAATTATTTGCTTAAAGTATGTATATCTAAAAGGAGGAAATGAGATAAAGGACAATCTATGATTCTGACCACTTACAATGCAAGTCTTTTACGTGTACAACTCAGATCTGGTTGGAACCAATTTTATTTTGTTCACCGCAAAAAATAAGCACACCCGTATTTTTTCATTTTTCATAATGCGCTAATTTTAGCGCGGGGCGCAAATTTTAAAGCATTTTTCAGCCAAAACCTCGGTTTTTAAAAATTCTGTAACTTTTCGAATTTTAGCCCGAATCCAAAAATTCGAAGACATGTCTCTTAAGAATGACTTACCTGACTTATGAAAAATCCCATTGTCTCGAAATTTGATTTTCAAAATTTTTTGCCAGTTTTAGAAATTCATTAAAATTATAAACTCTTTCAAATTTTTAAATTTTCAAAAAATTATGCATGTAGATTTTTCATAAGTCAAGTAAGTCATTCTGAAGACACGTGTTTTCGAATTTTTGGATTCGCACTAAAATTGGAAGAGTTACAGAATTTTAAAAAACCGAGGTTTTGGCTGAAAAATGATTTAAAATTCGCGCCCCGCGCTCAAATTAGCGCATTATGGAAGACGAAAAAATACGGGTATGCTTATTTTTTGTGAACAAAATAAAATTGGTCTCGACCAGATCTGAGTTGTACACGTAAAAGACTTGCATTGTTAGAAGAGGTTTCTTTACGACAAGTTCTGGTACTTCTTAAGCCTGAAGAAGAATGTTTTAAAATCACGGAAATTTTTATTCCCGGATCGTAAACCGCACATACTTCGCATTTGAGTAACTTAAAACTTTGTGCGTGGGTTTTGGTGCGCAAATTTTCATGCAAAATTAGCGATAGCGGTAAAGTAAGCTCAAATTCTGCAAGAACAAAAAATTTGTGAAATTGACCCATGCATCGACCGGAATTACAAGCCTAGTCCTTATTTGGAGGCTTGCGTATTCCTGCCAATTTTCGAGTTGGAAAACTGATCCCTGTATCCTGATACATATACTCGGCGTTGATGGTGGCCTAGTTAATGGCAAAGGTATTGCCCCAAACAAATAACCTCTGTTCAAATTTATTAAACTCCACCAATTCTGGGAGTCTTTATTATCTCCCAAAAAGTCCATTATCATTAGTCAATCTTGATGAAGACAATTATAAAGCAAGGGAATTTTTTAGTGGTTTCATATACTCCAGAAATTTATCCACGCAATCAGAACGTCGGCAAACCCAAGGCTAAATATCTGTTCACCTTGCCATATTCGTCAATTACGACATATGAATAACATTGTTTTTATCAAATCCATTTTTCTGAATCAGCTTAAACAACCTGTTACTATGAATAATATCGTATTTGCAAGCACACTATTTACTTCTTGGAGAACTCTTTCTGTATTGAACCTTACTTTTGGTCAAATTATATAATGTTTTAATTGCTGTATTATTAAAATATAAATAATATTTACAATTATGGTCCATGTGTGTGGAATAGAGTGAAATAAACCACGAAGGGGGTTCACTTTGTCGACCCCACTTTAATGCCTAAACTCACTGCAATTGATGAAAACGATGCGAGAAAAAGGTGTTTCTCTTCAAAGGAGAGTTGAGATTGCAATTTGGCAGAAGTGGTTTTATTCATTCAAATTTAGGATCGAATTGGGATAGGCCACAGCAGCAGACAGGATTCTTGTTACACTCGATGTGAATTCTTCTAGGTTTGGTGGTTTCGGTGAAAAAATTGCATCACTATTTTCACTTTGTGATAATGAGTTTCAAATTTTGCTTCTTTTGTTCAATGAAAAAGATATGTGAAAAAGTACGTATTATGAGCAGGATTGAGATCAGATGTTGTTCTGTTGGCCCCTATCACAAGAAAATATTTCGTATTAAAATTAAAGTATGTAATAATTAACGCCTTGTTGGTTAGACTAGATGGTTACAGAAGCCATATTTCATATTTATTAATGTTTCGTAAATTAATTTTAAATATTTTTAAATTTTATGTGCATTTCTGCTAATCAAACACGTGTTGTTGAATGACCGTCTAATTTGCTGTAAGAATGTGATTCGGCAGCATTATCTTTATAAATCATTCACTAATTTATTCAGAACGCATGGACGTGTTAATTTTTATCGAATATATATTCGTAAACTCGAGTACTTTCTTTTTTGATATTTGTCTATCTAGTCAGTGATCTGATCGACTTAATTGGTGATATGTACATACACTCAAAATAAAAATTTGTTGTAGTAACACCGCCGGTGTCAATATATGACTTAACCGCCTGGGTTACAATGTTGAATCCGAGTTATGATGATTTTGATACCGGTAGTTATAATGTTATGACCGGACGGAAAAAATTCATTACTACTCGGAATCACAATTGTAACCAAGGCGGTTAAGTCATACATTGACACCGTTTTGCTTTGAGTGTACTCTTCGTCTCGATTGATTTATTTCGTCGACTAGATTATATTAAAGTTCAATATTACTCTCTCCATATTTATCAAAGCACATATTTCATTAGACTTATACAAAATTTAGGTATTATACACATTTGATATTTGTACCTCGTGAAGCACGTGTAAAAATTTCCCAACATATTTATCTTATGGATTTTATGCAAATATATATGTTATCAATTTGGACGCAAACGCAAGTTATCAAACACTAGCCTTACATTTCTTTCATCTTAAGCACAAACATTCTTATCATCTTGCATACTAGTTTCGTTGGATTTTATTTGGCGTCGGGTTGGGGTTACATATTTTACGCTTGTACTCAAACTCTTACATATTTATTTACAAAGATGAGTGAGTAATTTCGGTAGTCATGATTCTGTAAAGTTGTTGAGCTGCATATTCGGAGGAACTCGTATATGAGAAATGTCCGGAACTGCTTGTAATACTGGTTGTCAAATTGGTAGTAGTATCAGAGGAATCTGCACTGGAGGTCGCAAATTTTGCTTGTGCAATTAAAATTTGTATGTAAGTATATTATTTAAAAATATGAATTAAATCGAGTAATGCTTTCTAGACAGAAATTAACCTCATAAATGATGTAAGATTTTCAATTAAAGTCGTGACTTAATTGAGTAAAATGATTTTTGTTAAACATTTATTGCATCTTGATGCATTATTCATCGTAAACTATAGTCTTCACACATTTTTTTTCAAAAACTAAAAACTTTAGCAGAATGGTCGAAATTCTAAAAAAGATGTGACGTATAAATATATGCATCTCATTATTCAAATTAGAGTCCTTGGTTCACTCGCAAAGAATATTTAATTCGGGAACAGTATTATGTATTTTGCAAATCCCTTCACGACACAAATATATATTTTGATCTTTGCAAGTTTATTAAAATAGTTGCGACGCATTGACGTGAGTACGCCCAGTGTAAGTACATATGTATGTAAATGCCACGCTACCATAGAAAATGAGACAAATTTGTAAATTTCCATTAGTGACCGAAATTTCGTTGGTGCAATTGAACATTTTCAGAATTTTGTCATCAGTTTTGACAAAATTTAATTAAAATTTCAATCCCAAATCCTTGTAACTCATTTGGATAGATTTGGGTGTTTTTCCCTATGCAAAAGTTCCCATTGTAACGAGTAATTTAAACCACCCTGTATATAACGAATGTCTTATTCCTTACGAGCCGGATATGAAGGATGTGACCGATTTTCAGGTAATTTTTCTATACTGTGACATATCTACTACATGCTTTAATTAACATGGGAAGCCTTGCCCCAACCCTGATCACATCCCTTTTGCACAGTCCCTTCAAACTTGTAGCGAAGAAGTGACTCGGTCACCTTGAAGGCAGAAAAAATGATCCATTCTACACTGCACAGACAGTTTGGGTGGCCGTGCACAAAAAGCAGGTCTACGAGAAATTATGTTAATTACACAATATTCGTTGCAAGTTGTGTATAAATTTATAACATCCTTAATGCACGGTCCTTTAAGATGATCATGTTTATCATGCACCTGACGAAATATCCTTTGACACACTGTACATATCTTGATGGAGGACACATTTCACTCAGCAGGTTATTGTATTGTTTTTTACACTTGCTAAAATGTGAATTAAAAATGTGATTCCGTTATTAATTTTGTTGTGCAAAATTTACCCATTTGCAAATTTACATTGTTTGAATAATGCTTGTTTGAGTGATTTACATTGAGTAAGACTAACATATGAACACAATTTCGATAAGATTTTATACATGTAAAGTGCACCCAGCGTTCTCAATTCTAAACTAATTTTATTTCTTAATTTGTTAAAGCTTTGTATTTGGGTTAATTCGTATCAGTGGAAATCTGCAGCCTTTAAGTTTTCCTTATGAACTTAGGTATGTAGATGTCTGGCATTTAGGCAGGTAAGCAGAATTGTTATTGTACTATGAAAAAAAATAGGTAAACCTATTTATGCTAGAACGTATATGTTTATGTAAATTAGATACTACACACTATTACATAATTTTGAGATTTGAGCTCTGTTATCTATTTCCAGGTCCTCACGGAAATCATCTTACTCCCAACCTGAATTCGGCCTAGCCGTGAAGTCCGTCATATTTTCGTGAGCTATTTGTTTTCATAGATTAGATACTTCACGATTATACAAAATCGGATTTTCCAAATAAGGTAAAAATTGACAAACACTTTGGTTTCTAATTTTTCTTTTTAGATCCCGTTTTTAATATCAGGTTCGTATCAATAGATGCATAATGGATGCTGTCGAATGGAAATCTGTAAAAGATGGATACTACAAAGTGAGATATCTTGTTCCCGTTAATCATCTAGTTAAGCTACCTTCCCTCAATAATTGTTCGTTGTACTGTACATATTTATTTAGATATTTTTTATAAGTAGTTAGCGATACGATAACACTAGCGGTCTTGCTCCGATTTTGATTAAACGGCACTAATTATGTAGCCTATATGCATAATATCATTAATTACATATGAAAACACGTGTTTCAGTATTTTTCGTGATGCTTACTTCCAACGATGTAATATGTTTTATGTATGTCAACGAGATTTTGCAATTTTTCTCACAAAAGAGAAAAATGAAAATTCTATCGTACGGATTCCATCCTAATAATTCCAAACTATTTATAGCTGTCTGAAGAATCCTGAAATATGTTTAGTTTAATTATTTGGTAGCGCTACATAATTATCATGGTTTCGTCAAAATTGGAGTGAGACCACTGGCATTATCACGTTGTGAATATTAGGGATTGTAAATTCTGCAAAAATAATTATGCATGTACTTTCATTTCATACTTTGTGTCACGATGTAATAATTTACATACCTATATATACTTTTAAATTTATCGCAAACTCCAGTAGTTCAAAGGCTGGTATTAGTTTCTTTTTTCCCAACCACATAACCACAGGAAATTGTTCCCTCCCGTTATGCCCTATGCCCGTGTTGCTGATTGTATTAACTATGGGCGTTGTTGGTTATGGCGTTATTATGAAGACCTTGGGTTGCTCTCACGTCATTCCATCACGTTGACTTGATTAACAGATATTTGTTTCAATAAGGTTTCTAGTTCTTGAATTTGCTTGAACTCTTGCATTTTTATACAAGATTATGGTGCTGCAATTGTACAGGTGTCTAGTTTTTGTACAATATTTGCGAAGCTTTTCGGTCATTGTAGACTGTTCCTTTGCCGTTACATTATTTTTTTGCGAGGGGCGTGTTTTATTTTCATTTTTATCTCTATTCTGGTCCGACATTGATCCGATTCTCGATTAAAAGAAGCACAAATTGTTCTTCCACCGGTTGTAAAAGTTTTCTGAGAATACGCATTTCGTCGATTTCCTCGAACGATAGTCTCAAAAATCTGGTTGTTGTTCCAAGCAACCGAAATAAATAAACACCAATAACTCATGCACTTTTTAGAGTGATTTTTAGTTGTTTTCAGCGTACTTAGGAGGGGGGAGAGGAGTTAACACTAATACAAGAGTAAAGTTTTAGTGTGGTTTCTACTTGCTATTTATACTATTTTATATTATTACGTGACTAATAAGTAGTATGTATCTCTAGGTAGAACTGGAGCATATTTATAGGCTTACGTTTGGATTTAAAGTATACATAAGTATGTAGGTGGTTTACTGGTTCGATGTCGTAAAAATTAACGAGTTTGAAGTCATTAATTTAACATGTCTCATCACGGTGTTTATCTATCACAAACAACTGGCAACTAATGTTGAGTAGTGACTCATTCACAAAATCGAGAAGTGCGTCATTACGACTGTTTGTCAAATTGCTTCCATATTCTCGTACCCACCTCTTAAATTCCTTTTCCCGTTGTTTTGGGCAATTCAGCCACGACCATGCGTAGCAATTGTAATAATGAGTACTTGGCCCAAGGTCGAATTATTCATGGTTTATGTAGACTTTTGCCGTACTCTGAATTCCGCTCGATTAGCCAGATTATTGTCATAATTAGGTATATGTACCGTCGGTATTGGGTTTTACGATTCTCATATTGGACATGTGTACTCCTCATGTAAGCAGTATTTTAATTAGTGGGTTTTAAATAAATGCAGGTACTCTTTATCTCTTTAAACATATTCCTCTGCAGTAAATTAAACGTGTAACATGTAGTCGCGCATTTTTTAAAAGTTGGCACAAGTTTTTATGCGCTGAACAACTTCCAGTTCCATATTTCACGTCAGGAAAATGAATCCGGGGTAGCGATATGGTAAATGTTGGTGGTGCGAATGACGTGTACGTGTACGTAATAACTGTTGGCACTTTATTCCAGAAAATTCCGTCGAACTAATAACTTTTGGTCTCTCCGAAATCCGAACGCCAATCTGTGCTACGATAGGTGCAATTCTTAAGCGTGCAGAAGAATGTGTTCACATCATAGAAATTTTTATAGCTGGAACGTAAATATCGCCTTTGAGGAACTCATATTCTATGCCTTTATTTTGGTATGCAGAGTTGCACGAAAAACTACCGATACCGATAAAGTGAGCTGAAATTCGGGGACACAAAAGGTGTCAAAATTGGTCTAACAATAAGCAAGAATTAGGACCCTCGTCCTGAGCTGTAATATGCCCATTACCGAGCGGGAATACTGACCACAGCATATTAACATATTCGAGGTTGGTGTTTGCCTGGGAAATGCTATGGTGTCGGAGAAAAGCAGGTCTGCTCCCATTCTCCAATATGATCCAATATATACTTGGCGTTGATGGTAGCCTAGGTAATAGCAAAGGTATTGCCATAATAAATAACTTTTCAAATTTCCTAAAATTCTTCACAATCTTTGAAGTCTTTATAATCTGCAAGAATTCCATCATCATTAGACAATCTTGATGCGCACAATTATTTATAAAACAATGGGATTTTTTAGTGGTTCACTCATTGTATTGCAAGTGGTCATAACCTTATCGATTAAATGCTTCAATTCCTCTAAGAATTAATCCACAAAATATGAGCCACGGTAAGCCGACATAAGGCTATACCCTTATTCGTCTATTACAATATATGAATACCAACGTTTGTACGAAATATGTTTTTTCTGAATTACCGAAACCAACTTTTTACTGTGAATAATATCATATTTGCAATCAGATTACTTTTTGGAACGCTTTCTATACTGAACCTTGTTTACGTTCAAATTAATATTTTAATTTTTGTATTATTAAAATATACAATTATGGTTAGTATGAATAAGAATAGGGGTATTGCAACCTGTCCTATTGAGCCTCGGATTTTTCTGGCGAAGCTCGATGGGCCTGAGAGGAATCCACCGGTAATAATAATAAACAGCAAAAATAATTCCACCGGTAATAATAATAAACAGGTAATAGACAATAACAACATGGAAGAAATAATAGGATTCGAAATGAGACTGTTTATATTTTCCCAAAACCAAATTTTATTAATTCTAAAAAATCATAGATTTGTTGAATATTATCTTGTTTAACAATTACTGAAGTGGACCTTGGATTCGTCGATCAGAGGCAAATTGGGGATTCTTGAAACAAAAAATTGTTAGAATGCATTTCGCAACAATCAACTTTATTTTTGAGAAACTTACATAGAGTGGGTAAACACCTTGTTGTTGAGATCCCTTATATAGGTGAGCAGAATTAAAATCTCTGCGGCAGGATAGCCCATGTTATCTGTGAAGTTCCGTTTATGAGGGTTCACTGCATTGATGGTGGTGATGAGGCAGATGAGACGATCGTCGTCGTTGTTGTGGTGTGTGCGTAATAATTGTGAGGCGAGATGAGACTTGGTTGCACTTTTCTTATAGAGGTTTTATTCATTACTTGTACAACAGGCAGAACTCGGCCTCTCCCAATAATATTGGGAGAGGTAACATGCAGTAGCACCAAAAATACTTCTTCGACCGCTGGCTGCGCTTTCGCTTATATATCCTCGTAATACCTAATCGATACCTATGTGTTGACCGATTATGAACCGGTTGGCCACGCTGAATAGAGATATCTCAGATGAGGTTGTGACGAAGCTGGTTTCCAAAATTGTCTCTGGTTTGTAAGAGATGATGGAGGTGAGCGGCATACTAATTAAGGGGTTTGGCATTAATGAAGTTGACCAAACCTGCTCTTTCACAATATTCACCTTTAGTAAGCGGTGGCCCTACCGCAACAAGCGAAAAAATGCGAGATTTAATTCAGTCAGATTCTATGTACCTACTTGGCGTCAACTTATTCAGAAAAGTCGGGAAAATTCGTCAAAAAATCCAAGTCAGAAAATTTGTTTTTTCAATTAGACATATCCAATACGAAGTTTAAGGTGCTCGCTCTTTAATTTTGTAATACATTTTGGAGACGAGACACGTCCCGGTTGAGTAAATTGATTTGTTCTTGTAGTACAATCCTCTGCTCTTCCTTGCCTATTCTCGTGTTTGTCAATTGCGAGTCAGCGACTCACGAGTCATTTCTAGTTGGGCTTCCAGAAAAAGTGCTGAACTTTCACTCTCTCCCAAATCTCTTTCCGACTTTGCTATGGACTCTTGTTGTTGGTTGGATTTGCTTCGCAGAGAGTTCCCAAAATCTCTGTTTGCCGCAATCATGTCATTCATCATTTTCGATATATGATAACATTTTAACTGATGATAGGCAATAATTTATGAGATATATTTATTTATACCATCATAATATTGATAAATGGATTTTCCAATTCTAATGTTTGTATGAAATTCATATGAACATTTTAATCAGCTTAGGCAATCTTTCAATGCACATAACATCTACAAGAAGTACAAAATTATGACGTACTTGTGATCAAACAGGTGGAACGAATTGAAATTAGTAAAAAAGAATACAACAAATTTGGAATTAAATTGTATCTAAATATGTTACATGTTTAATTCTGCTGTAAAATTCTGCTTATATATGTGTTCACCTAACCCGAGTTACTTTATATGTATGTCTAAGAAATCTACAGAAGCGATAAATTTGACCTTTGACCCAAAGGTAACGGATCATGTCAAAATAGCTGTCAAAATAGAATTCTGGTTATTTCTATTCATTTCGTGGATATTTATTAGAAGTTGGCACAAGTTTGCATCCGCTGAACGACTTCCATTCCCATATTTCACGTCTGACAAATGAGAACGGGGTAGTAGCGAAATGGTAAAAATTAGTGGTGCAAATGAGCTATAAGTTATAATGCTAGGGATTTTGTTCAAAAAAACTCCATCTGTAACATAGCGTACGAAAGGGTCAATTCGTTGGGACTGGTTGGAAGCTACATACATCGTGGCCAAGAATTATCT